GAATCCCAAATGAGTCTTTTTATGCTTTCTTAGAAAGTGAAAATTATGGATGCTTGGCAATACGTTCAACCAGAAACAAGACAAAAGTAAGTGGGTATAATAAGAAACATTATGTGGAAATGAAGGAGACAAGAGGAGGAGACAAGTAACGTTCTATTAGACTAGTGCTTCATTATGTTCCCCATGAGTGTTATTTTGTGTGGGCATACATTCTCAAAATGCCAAATGTGTCCACCAGCCTAAATAGGTTGGGGGGTCATGTTTTTTTTTTTAATTTTCCTTTCTCTCTTCTTATTCCACCTTCTATTTTGTGTTTCTGATTATGTATCATCAAGTTGACTCTCAGTGAGCATATATTTTCCATGGTAACCTGTCCCTAACCTGATCTCCAGATCTTCCAATAATGCAATCACACTAGAACTGAATCTATCCATATTTTTTTTTTAAAAAATGCTTTATATGCTGCCCTTCTCCGGAGACTCAGGGCGACTTACAATGCGCTAAGCAATAGCCTTCATTCTTTTGTATATTTATACAAAGTCAGCTTATTGCCCCCACAACTGGGTCCTCAATTTACCTACCTTAGAAAGGATGGAAGGCTGAGTCAACCTTGAGCCTTGGCAAGATTCGAACCTGCAGTAACTCCAGGGAGTTAGGTGTCTAAAGTCTGATAATTTAAGACTGACAATTTGTGCCTTGAGTAAGAACTCTTGGTTGGTTTGTCTGATGATTTTCTAATTAATATGTTGAATTGTATTATAATAGAATTAGATTATAACATATAATTTTAGTAATCTTATTCATTTGAATTTACCCAGGTCTTAATTCTTCTCTAGAATCCAAGCTTAGAATCACAGAGCTGGAAGAGATCATTTATGCCATAGGTCCATTTCCTGCTCAGTGCAGGAATCCAGATGAAAGCATTTGAGGTGGTCCAGATAGCGCTGAATGAAGAGGAACTACCTACTTCTATGGTTAATTAGATGCACGGTCAAACAGCTCTTATTATAAATAGGGAAGTTTTTTCTAAAATTCAGTCTGTCTTTCTGTAACATAATCCACTGTTTTAGATCTATATTTTGAAACAATGGAGAATGGTCTTAACCTCCTTCTGTGTGAAATCCTCTTAGATAGTTGTTGAGTGCCATCATGACCACTCTCAGTCTTCTTACTGGACTAACAGGTAACATCTAAAAAAAGACTTTTGCTGTTGTGCTACCCTGGTTATGGAATACAATGTAATCTTTAAATGGACCATTTGAGGAAAAGGCGTCTGTTACTCTTAAATGTCTATCAAATTTGAAAATGAGCCATTCTATGAATTATGTCCTTTGGGTAATGAGATCATTACAAAAGTAATGCATATGCATCAAATGATATAATTTGCATATGCAAATAACATATTTTGTGCCATTTGTATAGTGTCACTATCTAGTAATATACTATATATTACTAGATAGAAATATTACAATAACATTAAAATAAATTTAACTATTTGATCCAGACTATCTTAGATGCAGTGGATTAGTGCATTCTTTCAGGAGGATCTCTGGGTGCAGATTTGGTCAACTATATTCAAACTCTAATAAATTGGGATCCATTAAAAGTTTCACTCTACGCTCCTGAAGGAAAACAAAAACTCTTGTGCCATGGATTTAGTTTGGCATAAAATGAAACAAACTCCAGTCCCTTAAAACAGCTAGCCTCCTGGGGAGTTTTCCATGGAAACTCGACCCATTAAGCATGAGGATATCATTTTGGGATATTATATATTATTTTGTGTTGCCTTTTTATGTTGAATGAATGCTTTTAATGACGACTTTATAGTATGTTATCTGTTGGAATCATTCTCAAAATTATATATTTAATTTATATATAAATAATTACAAGCATATAGCAAGCATGATTATATATATATATATATATATATATATATATATATATATATATATATATGTAGGTCTTTGGTTATTCGGGTCTTCTCCCACGTAAAATTGGAAGTGTCTTGGCGACGTTTCGACGAAGTCTCATTCGTCATCTTCAGGCTGGTGTTCTCGGCTTCGTGCTTCCAGGAGCAATTTGTTTTATATATATATAGAGTCTGCTAAGGACCACATCTTACTTAAAAATATCCCTGAGTGTAAGGCATATATCTGAATAATAACCAAGATACTGAGATGTGTCACCAAGCCAACCACAAGTGTCTTATATACTCTCTGTTTTGTGAAATATAAAAAGGAGGCACCCCATCTCCATGAACTTTGAATGTTGTCATCCCTGGGGAAAGTTACTATGCATCTCCAAGGCAATTCCTTCACTGCCTTTTTGGATGGATTCCAGGCAAACCAAAGGAAGGTGGTTTTGTATACCTTTTCACTTTCTCTGTAGCTGTCTTAATATTCATTAACATCTTTTTTAGCATTTGGCATCTGCTTGGAGCCTATTGTCTTTGAATACTAAGAGCCTATTAGCTATGGCTGGTCACCAATGCCGTCAAATCAGCTAATAAAGATAAACTTGATCAGTTGTACCAACTAGTCACTATAGAGGTTTGTTATCTGGAGCTAAACCAAAAATAAAATAGCTGCAGGTAGATTTTAACTTCATCATTCCTAAAAGCTTTGAATCTCAGTTAGAAATAGCCTGATGTATACTAAATGTATACGTCCCTGTCCTAATATTCCTTTTTACTTACTCTTTTCATGTATTCAAATTATGTTTATACTTTTATCTGTTATCTTATATATGCTTGACAAATAAACTTATGATTATGATTATGATTAAATAACTACTTGAGAGTGTTATATGAGTGTTATATGAGCCATGGTGGCGCAGTGGTTAGAGTGCAGTATTGTGATCACTGGCTGCCAGCAGTTTGGCAGATCAAATCTCACCAGGCTCAAGGTTGACTCAGCCTTCCATCCTTCCAAGGTCGGTAAAATGAGGACCCAGGTTGTTGGGGGCCATATGCTGACTCTGTAAACCACTTAGAGAGGGCTGTAAAGCACTATGAAGCGGTATATAAGTCTAAGTGCTATTGCTATATAAACAATATCTTTAAATACACTGTACAATAAAGCCTTGGGATAATGATCAATTTGAACCAATGACAAATCTTTAAGTTATTGTTGCCTACATATTTGTCATCTGTAACTGATGATAGATATGTCATTCTTTATTTGATCTCTCTGTACTATCCTATTATTTTTTCGCATAAGCATACATAGAGTTGCCCCATCCTTTCCCCTTTCATGAACATTACTTTGTGACTTCTTAGCCTTGGGGGTCCTAAAAACACTAATAAATCCATTATGATGTAAGCATGAGAGGATCAAAAGTTTATGCTATGATACATTGATTAATTCTTAACATGCCACAAAAGGCATATTAAGGATTAGGACAGCTCCCTTTTAAGAAACAATTCAAACTAATGGATTTTTTTTAAAACTTCCAAAACACTGAATTGGGCTACCCAAATAGAAACTTCTCCATAGTGCAAGAACTGTGTCTCTAAGCAGCTGATTGACTGAATTTTCTTGGAATGTCTCCTTACTTACCAGGGGACATTTAAGAATCTTTCATGAAATGCAAAAGGGGGTTCCTTTCTCCACAGCAGTGAGGATATTTTCTTCAGCCATTGGCAACAATAACTGGGATTCATTAAGTAACTTACTTGAATTTTGAAACTTGCTTTCGTGGTATGGAGACAATAACTTGGTCCTTAACACCAATAAGACCAAGGAGCTTATAGTGGACTATAGAAGGAATAGATCAGTCATTCAGCCCTTGCTTATCAATGGAGACCAAGTGGAGTAAGTGGCCAGTTATAAGTTTCTGAGTGTTAGCATAAAAGAGGACCTGATCTGGGCACTCACATTGCAGCACTGGTCAAAAGGGCCCAGCAGAGATTATACTACCTTCTCAGGAAACAACAACTCAATGAAAAACTGCTGGTGACCTTCTACCGCTGCACCATAGAGAGTATTTTAACTTACTGCACCTGTGTATGATTTGCCAATTGCACAGTGGCAAATAGGACAGTGCTCCAGAGGGTTAACATCATGGCCCAGAGGATCATTGGTTGCCCTCTCCCCTCTTTGGAAGTGCTTTATAGCTCCCGCTGTCTTAAGAAAGTTCAAAACATTCTTAAACATCCATCTCATCCTGGGCACCCTTTTTTTGAACTATTACCATCTGGCAGACGGTACAGGATAATAAAAACAGGCTGAAAAACAGCTTCTATCCCAGGGCAATAACCATATTGAATTCTACTGTATAGTGCAATATTAATGCAATAGCAGGGGTTTTCAATTCAGTTGTATAGAATGTGAAGGATGTGTGTTTGTGTGTGTGTGGTTTTTTTATAGTTATAATGTACACTGAAGATGGCATTTAATTTTGTTGTACTGAGGTGCAATGACAATAAAGTAAACTAAACTAAAGAATGAAAAGGAACTCAAGATCCATTAGAAGAGAAAGCCTCCTGCCCTGTTTTTGCAAAGGCCGGCCTTACTGGCTCTGGCGAGGATGTGCTGAGTGAGAAGCAGCAACCCGCCATGCCAGTGAACTGGAGAAAGAATCTTTTGGAAAGGCATCATCTGGTCCCCGCTAAGTAAACGCTATTATCCTCATTCCCACCACCACCCAACAAATTATGCGGGATGTGTGGGAAGGGAGCAGCACCACAGGGTGGTAGTTGTGGCTGCCTGGAACCCTGAAAGTTTAAGGACCCTCTTGGGACTCTTAGTTCCCTGGGCTGGGAGAGGGTGGAACTACTTCCCTCCCTCCCTGGCTTGTGCTGCCTCCTGCAGCTGGCCCTCTCGCTCAAGTGTTGCTCCAATAAGCAATAATTAGGTCCTAAGCTAATAATGTGTCAGCTGATCTTATGGGAGGGAAGATGGGGAGGAGAGAGAGAAAGAGAGAGAGCGGGAGGGAGGGCTAGACCAGAACAAGTCTCCATGGAAACGCTCCCCTCACACGCCCCTCCCCCTTCCCCCCACCTGGCTGTGGCGGAGAGGATGTGGAGATGCCTCGTCCTCCTCCTTCTTCCTCCCCAGCGCCACCTTGCCGTCCGCAGCTCAGACTAGCCTCGCCTTCGCGGCGCTCTCTAACCTGCAGCCGCCCGCCTGCAGCATGCGCATTGCCCAGCATCCCTAAATGGGACAATTCTGTCCGTCACGTTGCCGCTCAGCCGTCTCCACAGAAACTTTTGTCCGGCTGACCAATCAGAGGAGAGCGGGCGACGAGCGGGGAGGGGGCCAGAGAGCGAGACGGGGGTTTAGCAAGGAGCTTTTTTTGCTCGCGCTCAGCTTGCGTTGCCGGCTGTCAGTCCCGGTTCTTGCGCCGCGAGACCTACCAGTAGAGCCACTGAACGAAGAGAGCGGCTGGCGGGGAGGAAGGCGGGGGAGGAGGCGAGCGGGAGGGAAGAGCGGAGGGCTGGGAGTGAGGGGGGAGGAGGAGGCGGCTGGGGAGGCGGGCGGGTACTGACCGTTTTTGCAAGTGCCTTCCTGGGACAAGGCAGAGGCGCGGCGCGCGCAAGGTGCCAGGCCAGCCATTTCTCTCAGGGTGCTGCTGCCTTTCGGATGGAGGAAGAGGCACCGAGGGAGAAGGCGACGGGACAGGAAAAGCCATTATGAGACTTCCTCTTACCCTCACGGGCCTGAGGAGAGTCTGAAAGAGAGAGCTGGGCTGAGTAGCAGCCAGAGAGAAGAAGCAGGACTGGACGGGTCCAAAAGCCATGAGAGAGAAGGCGCACGGAGCGAGGCAGAGTGGGAGTGTGTCTAGGCTCGCGCGGCGGAGAGGAGGAGGAGGAGGTGGTGGTGGTGGTGGAGGAGGAGGAGGAAGAAGATGGGAACTCCCTTTCCCGGGCCGCGAATAGGTGTTGAATGGAGCAGCTGCCGTCTTCCTTCGCCTGCTTGGAGGGTCGTTGTGCGGCACTAGCCATTTGGCTCCAGAGGAGGAGGCGGAGGAGGAGGAGGAGGAGGGAAGTGTCGGTGGCCTGCCCCAAAGACGTCTGGAATCTCAAGCGAGAGCTGAAGCGGCGGCAAAGGAAGGGACAATAATAGGGCCGCTTGGCGGAGGGGAGGCAGCAGGGATGACGGTTCTGCTTAAGCATCCGGACGCCAAACTTCCTCGAACGCCCTGAAGCTGAGGGAGATCTCAGGATAGCCTAGACTGGGCGAGTCCTCCATAAACGAGTGCCGTCGTTGCAAACGCAGCCCGACCGCCAGCCACCACTCACTGGCCAATAGGCTCCTCAGATTGAACTCGGCCTCTTTCAGTCTCATACCAAATTTGATGTTTTCAGATTAGGGGCAAAAAAATAAATAAAAATAAATACTTTGGTGAGATTTAAAAAAAAAAAAAACGCGAGCCAGATTTAAAAAGTGGCCTGCGGTGTCTCTCCCCAACGTGCCCTGTATCTCGCCAGCTGGGAAGAACTTTCTATCCCACCAAGAGCTTCACACTCAAAATGCGGAGATTTAGGGTAAAATAAAAGGGGGCAGTAAGGCCAGGCTGCCCTTCAGCATTTTCCTCCATCCTGCACAGCCAGGCTGCTTCTGGAGAAACGGAGTCCTCCAGGATAGACGCAGGAAGACAGCCGAGGGTTGGCTGACTGGGGTGGAGGGTGGGCTTTACTCTCTCCCCCCACCCCCAACCTGCACCATCCGGGCTGAAGCTGATGCCCAGGAGAGAAGAATCCGACTCCATGATATTATTATTATTAGTATTTTGGCTTCGAACCTTTTGGCTTCGATCTACTCAGGGGCCATGTCTTCAGTGCCATAGAGGCACAATCCTCTGGGGAAGAGACGCTGCTGGAGACGCTGGGATAGTCCTGCCTGGCACAACGTTGAAGGGACATTCACGTACCGGAGACGGGGAAGAGAAGGCAACCCTGCCAGATTTGCTCGCCTGGATTGTATGAGGAGGGGGACAGCAAGTTGGGGGCATGATCGGGCCCCGGGGCGGGCCACTCTTGAACTGATCGCCAAGCCTACAGAAAGCAACCCCCTCTACGGGGACGGAGCGATTGCCGGGGACCTCCTCCTCTTCTCTCGCTGGATCTTGGCGTTGGAGCTCTCTTTCTCCATGAGCCCGGGGTGAACAGGTGCCCCGGAGGTGTGGGGGATCCGTCCCCGGGTCCGCTTGGGCTGTGCGTGTCTCTCCGGGCGGATTATGGAGAGCGGTGACCGGGACATGTATCGCCAGTTTCAGGACTGGTGCCTCAGGACTTACGGGGACTCGGGCAAAACCAAGACGGTGACCCGTAAAAAATACGAGCGGATTGTCCAGCTCCTGAACGGCTCCGAGACGAGCTCCACGGATAATGCCAAATTTAAATTCTGGGTCAAATCCAAAGGCTTCCAGCTCGGCAGTCCGGACGAGGTCAGTGGTGGTGGTGGTGCTGCTGGTGGCGGAGGGATGCAAGTGCTGTACGTGCCGGTCAAGACCACGGTTAGTAGAGAAATTGTCTGCCTTGTTATTTAGCCACATCGGGGAGGAAGAGTAGGGAGCCGCCGCGGCCACATAGCTGCCACCTCCACCCCCGAGCTGGCTCAGGCTGCTCTCTCTCCTCCCTCCTCCTTTCTGAAATCTCTTCCTCACCACCCCTCCCGCCCATGTTGCGTTTGCCTGGCACCTTCTCCGCTGCTCAGGGCTTTGTGATCCTTCCTTGCTTTTACGTTGCAAGTGCACAAAACACACCCCTCTACGAAGTCCCTCCGGTTCCTTTCTTCTTAACCGGGGGTGGGGGGGTGGGGGGGGGAGCGGGAGGAGGAGCGGAACGAGGAAAAGGGAAATCTTATTTCGTCCCCTAAACTAAAACGGACGGGTGTGTGTGTTTGTGTGTGTGTTGGCGAGTCCTGTAGCTGCGCACTACCCATAAGACTATTTCCGATCGACAGAACAGTAGATTCTGATTAGCCCCATCCCAAACGGTCGGGTGATTTGGGGTTTCCCTAGAATATCAGCTCTCCCCTTTCATTGTTAGCTCTTATCCCTTGAGCGGTAGGAACGTGCCTGGCTGGTTGCCTGTAGAAGCGGAGGGCAGGCTAATCAACAAAAGAGCCATAGGCTCGCACAGGACCGGATGGGAATTGGTCTCTCGTGCGCTCGCTCTCAGTTGAGCCAGCCCAGAAATGTTGGGAGCCTTGCAGAGGTGGAGGGCGTACTCTAAGAGCACCAGGGCTAAGATGCTGGGCTGTGGCGGTGGCAAAAAGCCTAATTTCCTATTTCAGAAGATGGAAATTGTTGGTTACAAGTAGGTTGATATTCTCCTTTCGGTATTTCTTGCTTTCTGAGCCTCTATGCTGGCCTTCTTTTACTCCAACATGCACTTCTATACTTTTGATATTAGGATCTGGGTTTTGTTTAGAGCAATTTTAAGTTGGGCAAGAATTTGGGGTTCTTTTTTCCTGATTGACAGGGAAAAAAGGTTTTTAAATGAGGCATTAAATCGTAGTGGAGGTATGCAGAGGAAAATGCCAGAATCCTATGCCTCTGCAATAGTATATCTTGTGTATGTGATTGTATGTATGTATGTATGTATGTATGTATGTATGTATGTATGTATGTATGTATGTATTTATGTGATTTACAAAACAATAAAAGTATATTAAATGATTTTAAATGAATAGATTACAGATTATTTAAGGCACTGTTTATTTTTGGTTTATCTGAGACTTAAAGCTATTTACTACCACATAATATGAAAGTTTTGTGGATCTGGGGCAATATACCAAAATTATTTTCTATAAACTCATTAGATTATACCCAGTATTATAATAGTTACATTCACTATAAACCTTTGAAAAGCCTTTAATATCATAAACCTGAAGTATGAAACATGGGAAAATACATAGTTTTCTATAGTCTTTTTAGATAAAGGCTTGTAGATGTCATCTTATTTCTCACAATGACTCAAAATGGAGCATAAGATTCATTTTGACAAAAGAAAGAACTCAGTGAGAAGAAAGAATCAATTTTCCTTTTTATAACATAGCAATTTTAACAAAATTAGTAGTATTTTTGACTTTACATATATTAACTGTTCTGCTTCAAGTGTGCTGCTTTACAAGTTTGAATAACTTCTTTTGAATTCTGTTTCCAATCAGTTAATTTTTTTTTCTTGATATACTGTATTAATCTAAACATTTTACTTATTTGCTTGAATTAACAAAGCAACAACTCTGAGATACATTTTTACATAATCTTTTAAATGTTTGTATTGTGATTCTTTGCATGTCTATTTAAAGTTCAGTGGAGTTTCTCCCTATGTAAAGGTAAATACAGGATAATATCCACAGTCTTAGAAAGTGATCAGCACATAAAAATTCATAATAATTCTCATAATGATTTAGTATTACCGTACATTCAATGACCATCATGCAATGAGGAGCTTGCTTGACATGTAGGACAGTTCTCTGAATTATCTTCAGATTGCATTACTTTTCACTATGGCACATCATTCCTTGACCAGGTAAAATCTTCAGTTTTGAAAACTGGGTCCAGGCTCAAAGCAGAGGCATTTAAATCAATGAAATACTCAAGCTGGAGAAGCTTCATTTTACACAGTGCCAATCATGCTTTTTTTTTTTTACTAACTCAGGCCAGTATTTGTGGCTCTATCTGCAGAGGATGCAGAAGTGGCATCTGAATTAGACTACTGTAATTAGCTGTAAGTAGGATCTACTTAGACATTGGCCCAGAAATTTCAGCATGTGAAAATTGCAGCTAAGATTTTATGCACTAGTCAGAATATGTAACTTCTGTATTGTAGCAGATATACTAGCTACTAGAACATTTCTGGGTCTAATTCAAAGGGCTTGCTCCCACTTTTGAGCCTTAAATGGATGGAACTTGGATCCCCCCAAATGTGCTTTTACTAGTGACAACTTGCTTGTATTGTAAAGTCAGGAACAGAAGTCCTTTCTCTGCTTTGAAAGCTGTTGATTAACTTGGGGGAGAAGACCTTTTCCATATTGTTTCCATAATTCATCGATCCACCTGCCAGTTTTCAAGAAATCTTATACATTTATTTTTCCAAGCACACCCCAAAATGAGCTTTATTCTTTGACCTGATGTCTAATCGTATTGCTCGTAATTGGCTTTGTTTCAATGTATTTAGTTTTATAATTATTTTACTGGGAGGATTTTGACCTGAAAGGGTGACTTACAAGTTAAAAATGAATAAAGTTTAACAGATTTCAAATAATTTACTTTTAAGTATTGCTAAGACTAAATATATCTTCTAAGATATCTTTTATTAAATCAGTTTCTGTAATGTGGACGATTAGAATAGAATAGATTTTTTTTTAATTGGCCAAGTGTGATTGGACACACAAGGAATTTGTCTTGGTGCATATGCTCTCAGTGTACATAAAGGAAAAGATATTATTTATAGAGATACTACTTCCCCCACCTCTAATCACCTCTCTTAGCTCAAAATGTGGTCAAGGACAACTGTTACCCTTTGATCTACTTCAGTCTTTCAGACCAAGATAGAAGAAAAAGAGTTAAAATAGTTTCTTTTAGATTTAAGTAAAATTCATTAACATCCCATGGAGACATAGGACACATTTTTACCCCATTTGAAGAAAAAGCAGGGTATATTGCTGTTTATTAATGGTTAACAAGAGAGAATTTCAAGTTTTTCTCTCTCTCCTGCTTCCCTTCAACTTTATACACTAGCACCATGGACAGATGTTTTAGTCTGTTCAGCAATTTATCACCTCATTCATTCCAGCAATCTACAGTAGTCATAAGAAGAGTTTAATTATTTATATGTGCAGCACTTCTTAATTGTTGATTGTTGCATTATTATTATTACTGTAACTTCTACTAATATTTATGGTGCCGACAGAGTGTAACTTCAGTTTAGTAGCCCAGTTTAATAAAAAAACTTTTTTTCACAACTTGAAATGCCACACATAAAATTTTAAATATAAAACAAATCACTAATTATAATTATTATTTAGGCATTTCCAGTAATTTTAAACTCTAAAACCATTTCAACAAAATTTTTAAAAGTTGAATTTGTCCAGAATTATTTTCTTCTTGAAGCTTTAACATGTGTGACTATGCTTTGCTATCAACCAGAGTCCTTTGCTTCTAAAGGTTCTATAATCCACTACTGCTGGTAATTAGACATCATTATTGCTGCATTAAAGGCAAGGAGAGAAGAGAAGAGGACAGGCTGGGGCTAATTAACTACTTGATTCTAATGAAAGAAAAAGACACTGATAGCAGGTGGGAGTTTGCACCAGGACGGACTAGACACATAGCAATGACTTCATTGAGGCAAGAATAAATTGTTGTTTTACATTAGCAGGATTTTAATCTTCCTACTGATTTCACGGGCAGTGAATAAAACTAAGCTTAGTCAAAGTTATCCTCTTATTTGGTTGTTGTATGCCTAGTGAAAATCTGAGGGCCACAAGACCACAGTTTTATTAATATGCACAGGAAGGGAGTACTTAGCATGTTGATATCAGGATTAATTCATTTTAGTATCTTAGTCTTCTAAGAGCAATAGGAGTTAATCTGTCTTCAAGTCTTCACATCACTCTGTGGTATAGGAAATGCACTCTTGGTCACCAGGCAACAACATCCTGCAATACAGCCATTTTAGGTCTACAGTGGGCCAACACACAGTGGAGTATTTATATGTACAGCTTAGTGAACAATATGCCTCTGCCACTTCTCCCTCTGTTACTGTTTTTGTTAGCAACTCTCTTTTGTTAAACTCAAGCTGCACTTTATTGAAAGGATACAGTGAAAGGATACCTAACAAGAGGTTTTACATAAAACTGTTAGGTGAGAAAAAAAATGTCAAATGAAAGACAATATTTACTATGAAGATACTACTTAGTTGAGTCAGGGCCTGAAACTGTAGTTTCTTTGAGAATATGAAATATACAATTTTTTGTTTGAAAGTAAAATTGCAAAGATTAAATAATAGTGTACTAGTTGAAATAATTTCTACCAATTTGAAAACAAATGTTTATTTAAATAATGAGGCTACAATTAGTATTATATTTTACTTCATACACATAGTGATGTCAAGTTTAATAGCTGCTGGATAATAATAATTATGGAGTAGATTTCTATAGTGATTCCTGTATTGAATGTGTATATGTGCATGAATCTATAATGAAGATAGGTTAAACAAAATCTATTCCTTATTTACATTGATAATCTCACTCAGAAATATATACCACTGACACCTTAAAGATTTAATTTTCAGTTTGAAATAGGATTAGCCCAGTTTTTCCCCCAGAGCTTGTATTTGGAATACAAATATTTTAATTGCCCTTTGGTATATGAGTTGTAGCTGGGCCTCTAAATAAAAGACACATATCTGAACTGAGCACTGATGACATTTGATCTAAAATAAGATCATTCTCTTGTCTCTCAATTGGTGAGAAAGACATGTATGCCACCCTTGTGTGATGCATACTGTATGCTTAGATTTATACCACTGATTCAATAACTTTGCTACAGATCAGTATTTTAGTCCTCAGCATAGATTTGGGAATGCTGCTTTGTATTATAAGAAAAAAAAAGAGAAAAAAAGTGACATTACCTGTTCATTATATGATAATTGGCATGCTCTTGATTTGTTGCACCATAGTACAAATGCTTAAGGCAGAGTATATGTAAAGTTAGGCATGTTTTAATACTGGTGTTTCAATGATACTGTGATGGAACTACAGACACATAGACAAATTATTAAAACTGGATTGAAAGTCATGCTCATTTTTATTTAATAATTTATGATAGTGTGAAAGTATGTATCATTAAACCCCTCTCTTTAACTTACACTGATAAATTTAAAGAGCTTAAATGAAATGTATTTTGGAAAAACTGAAGTCTACAAGCTAATTAACAAGCCGCGTTGTCATATGATGCATAGTTCGTGCTATAAAAAGCAGACCAATATAATTAGGCAAATTTTATTGGAGATTTGTAACTCTATATCTTAGAGTTCACATGTTTATTCTACAGAAGCTCAAGCAGTGAACACGATTATTGTATCTACTAAATTCTTAACCAATTGTAATTTCAGTTAGGCCATAGATATATTTCCTTGAACAGTAATTCAGCAATAAAACTCATGTTTTGCATTTGGAAGTTCCAGTTCCAATGAGTTTGGGTCTTCTTGTCTGACTGCTCATTTGTGTTCTTGCAATCTGGTAGTTAGCTTCCTCCACATCTGTCCTACATAGTCCCAGGGACAATACATGCAGGGAATTTGGTAGATTACATTGGAAGTATCTCCCACCTCCAACCAATTTTTACAACACATAATTTGTCCTTGTATGGTAGCCTCCATGTGGTGTGTGATGCCCACTTGCAGATCTCAGAAGCTGCATTGTGCAGCTTCTGAAACGTTTTTGATGTATGGCAGGGTGTGCCAAGTCCCTGAAGATGTGCTCCACCATGAGTTCAAAAGCTCGGAAGACAAAACTTCTGGTCCCAATGATTGATCCAGATTGGATCCTGCAGTATTGTCCTGAGACACCTATATTCACCTTCATTCATATGTATTCTCCCCTTGATTTCAGAGAAAAATAATAATATAGCTATTTGGTTATATTTTATACCCAGTCTTCCCCTCATTAAAAAAAAAATATTTAGAACTCTTGTAGACTCTGATACGGCTATTACATTGACATCTTTAATGTAGCCCAGCTATTTTTCCAGGAAGTCCCAAAGATGCTTTTGCAAAAGGCAACTGGACTTTCTTGGGTTTTTTTTCTTTGAAAACGTTTCACTTCTCATCCAAAAAGCTTCTCTGGTTGCCTTTTGAAAAAAGCACCTGGATGATTGAGAACCCCATATTTAGAATTCCAGGAATAAAAACAAGACATCATTCTTTAATTAAATTCATGTTAATAAAATTATCCTTGGACCTATTTTTAGAAGTTTGAAAGTCTTTCAGATTTCATATTTCCAAATAATTCTTGATAAGGATAACATTTCATCTTGAAAATTTCCTTTGCAAAAATTTATTAGAATCAGGCATGGATAAAATGCTATTATACCATTAGGAAGGCAAAATAAAATCCAATAAGATTGTAATGACTATGGAGCCAAACCATACAGCTCAGATTCATAATTGCCCATTAAGAATAACTGTGATACATTTGGGAATAAAATTATTGGAATAAACAGCTGATCTACATAATTTAGTCCATTTATACAAGTGACCATCATAACATCATCTCACTCATTTTCACAAATTCTTTGCTTTCTTAAGAACTTCTGTTTGTCTCAAGAATACTATTTTTCATTAATCTTTCACTGTAATCTTTCAAATTCTACAGTTTTGAAGGGCACTTAATATTCTTATTTCTCTCATCACCATTTATAATGTTATTAATCCCTTTAATATCTGACCATCTGAACTTAAACCCTCAAACTCTTAGCTTCTTTTTATAGAGATGTGAAGTCCATTCCTTCTGCAGATAATCTGAGTTGAATTTTCTGTGGGCTCCTCAGCTTTATAAATCCCTTTTTATATTCGATGGCACGGGATAACCAAAATCTGAAAAAAATATAAATAGCATACTTTTATTTTGTTTTCTTAATAATTTCCAAGATACCAAGAAGGAGTCTTTTTTGGCCTATTGTGCATATTGAGAGCCTCATCTTCTCATAAAATTATTTGCATGGGAAGCTTGTTCATTTATAAAGATGCACAAACAAAACTTGCTTTGAAGCACACCAGGCTTGATATAAGTTAAATTCTTTAGCCAGGCATCTGATATAAGTTAAATCACATCAATTTCAGTTTATATTGACTAAATTCACACTTTGCTTTATGCCTTACTGGATTTGCTTAAATCATAAAGCACAATTTATGGACCACAATGGTTTCTTTAATGCAACATATTATAATTTGGCATGTTGTGTAAAAACCAGGAGCCCTAGTTGTGCAGTGGATAGAATGCCTATTGCAGGGTAACTCTGCCCATAATCTAGAGTTCGATCCTGATGGCTCAAGGTTAACTCAGCCTTCCATCCTTCCAAGATCAGTAAAATGAGGACCCAGATTGTTGAGGGCAATATGCTAACATTGTAAATCACTCAGAGATAACTGCAAATCACTATGAAGTGGTATATAAGTGCTATTGATAAAACAACATGTTTAGCCCCCTATCCTTTTTAAAGATTTTGTTCTGCAAAAGGACCAGTCCTTTTCGTTTTGATTGCTACATTTATTTATGAAAAGTTGATGAGAAACTTTCTCACTGCTTTAGTGTGCATTGGATTTTTTTCATTTACATGCTTAATGGTAAACTTTTTTTAAAAAAAAACCTTTGCCTTATTTATTAGCCTCAATATACTCAATACTCACGAGCTTATGTATGTAAACATTGCCTGTTGTTTATTGTTTTTTTGCTTTTTTATTTGTAAACAGTTTTAGTTCTTCAAAATATCTCATTCTTTAATCCAATCACCACCTGATTTTCTTTGGAAACAGTTGTGAGATATGTGACATTTATTAGGTTTGCTTGTAAACTGGAGGGCATCCACTAAGATTCCAAAAGGATCAATAGAGAAGGTTTTATATACCATTGTACTAATGAAAGACCTATCAATGTTGAGATATCCATTTCCCATATACTATTGTTTTCCTGCACTATTCCCACTTCCTTCCATTACTTAGTCATTGTCATGAATGATGCATGGACACTTACTTGGTTAATCAGAAAACATCATATTATCTTTCTTTTGGAAAAAAAGACAGTCTTGGGCAGGCTTGGTCAATATTGTAAGCTTAGAGGTTTTTTAAAGACAAAATCAGGCCAACTCAGGATCTAGTTATAATATCAGCTGTTTGTCCTTTTTATGTATTTTTTGTTGTGCAATATTTTTATTTCCTTTTGTTTTTAGTATGGTAAATTATTGTTTTTTATTTTGCATTATTGTATGTTTATTTGAAAATGGATTAATAAAAATTATTTTTTTTATTTTTTTAAAAGGCTTTAAAAAAAGGCTTGCTTTTCCAAAGTTGGCCATATTTCTGTTTCTATATCTAATGGCTTAAAATTTATCTTCCATGTTATTTTCCATATTACAGTATTCCTCGATAATAGAAGCCTGATTCTGATGACATGGGATTGGATCAGTGGTGGGTTTCTCCTGGTTCCTCCCGGTTCCTCTGAGCTGGTAGCGGTGATGATATGATGTCACCGGACCAGTTCTGTGCCCCCCTGTCCCCCCACCTTATTCTTACCTTTTATTTGGCCCCACCCCCAATCTATTGCTGCCTCCTGAGTCCCAGCTGATTGCTAGAGGGAAAAAAAACTGTTTAAACTCTTGTGGTGGGGCTTCAAACGGCCGCCCTACAGCTGCTCAGTGTTAAAAGAAAACAAATGAGTAGACCAGTGCCTGCAGAAATACATGAGTAGATCAGTGCCTGCAAAAATACATGAGTAGATCAGTGCCTGCAAAAATAAATGGGTAGACCAGTGCCTGCAAAAATACATGAGTAGATCAGTGCCTGCAAAAATACATGAGTAGACCAGTGCCTGCAAAAATAAATGGGTAGACCAGTGCCTGCAAAAATAAATGGGTAGATTGGTACAACTCTGCAAGCAGTTAAAAGCCTGGTAGACCAGTACTGCTGCTAAATCCTAAATAATTGTCACATGACCATCAAGCCACACCCACAAAATAAGCCACACTCACAAAATAAGCCACGCCCACAGAACCAGTAGTAAAAAAATTTAGAACCCACCCCTGGATTGGATAGTTTGTTAAGCCTATATTTCTGGATTTTCTATTCATGCTAGTGATTTATAGCATCAGATACATATCTCTACAGTCTATATTAGACATTACTATGTCCATATTAGTAATATATAATGACAACTATTGCTAGATGACGTTATAAATAGCTAGTCTGGATAGCCTTCTAGGTTATCAGCAGAATGCTTTGTTTTTATTACTGGTGTGAAGAAACATGAAGTCCTGTCATTTATAATTAGCAAGCTCCATAATATTCTAAAATATTCATATAAATTATAGGTATATATTATTTTAAATACAAATAATAAACAATTAATATTAAACTATAATAACAATTAGAAATGTATCAGAATAATATGAATGATGCAAATTAAGGAAGAAATTTGGATTTGATCAGAGTCTGATTTCATAGCAAACTGGAGTAATTTGGAAAAAAAAGTTTCCCTAGGACAGAATAAATGAGTAACTTGCTTCAACCTGATTCTGGACCTTCACAAAACTCCAGGCCCAATCTATTATTCTGCAATTCTTGCATGCTATAAATGGCACTGTTAAAACTATTCTAATAGGGCAAGAGAAACAAGATTATATTGCTTATAGAAAATATGACAACAAAAAGGGGAATTTTGAATTCAATGACTGAAAAGTTGATTTCTATGAAAGTTGGTATGTTTATAGCAGTCCAGTTTTCCTGTAAATTTCCTTATGTTTGGGTGAAAAACAAAACAGAGCAAACATTTGAGTGTTTCTTATGATAAGACAATATGCAATCTGAACTGATTTTTTGAATTGCATTCCAGAAATTAACAGAGACTGAACTTTCCCTGGAAAGACTTAGAGCAGATTTATGTAGTTCTACATCTAGCCCTCAAAACTCATCACATGGTTACAGCATACACTGTAATATAAAACATGTTTTTAATAAAACTGACTTCATTTTATAGCTTGTCAATTACAGTATTTTACTAAGAGGAAATTCCTAGCTTATTAAAAATTACTGGAAAATGATGTATGATCTCATGTCCTCATAATTACATTTTATGAGTAAAACTCTGAGAGGTTAGCTTTTTCTTCCATCCTTACATAGACATGATTGCACTTGAAAACAATAAATCCCTGGAAAATCATCCCATTCATCTGTGCAAAAGCCAATATACTTGTCCTCATAATTGCTACCTACTCAGATAGCTGATTTTACTTCCATATGCAAATTTATTTATTTATCATATTATAGAGTTACCTATCTCACAAGAGACTTCTTTATAGGACAATTGCAGAAGATATAGACAGACTGACCACATATATTTTATAATAGAACTACTGCCATGGCTGTGTGAATATGCTGTGACCTGAGAAACTGAGTTCAGATCCATTTTTCTTTCATCTTGTAACTCCATTACATTAGGATAATCTCTGTCCTTACACAGCCTAGGCTATCCATTGGAGTTATGTGTCTCGAGCTATAATCTTACACCTTGTCTAAGTTTGAGGGCAATCAGACTTTATGTGGCATAGCACAAAATTCAAAAGTAGGTAAGAGCAAGGCAGGCAGATTTTTGTACTCCTGATCATGATGAACAGGCATGAATTGCTATGTCATGACTAGTCAAGAACCATCATACATTGATGTAAATATCATTCCTGACTGCTCTATTTTTTCTCATTTAGGAATAGTTCATTTCTCACCTGTGACTTTTCCTCTAAGTTCCTTGAGTTCATAATATTTATAAAACCATACTTTTGGAAGGAGCAATTTAGGCAATTGAGTTCTATTCTTCACTCAGTGTAGAAATCTTTATTAAAGCTTCTTAGGAAGATGGCTACAAGTAGTTCTCTTCTCCAGCCCGTCACTGATCACTCACTTTTTGTAGAGCTCCAGAGGTCTACAAAATGTAAGTGGCTTACACCAGGGGTGGGTTCTACTTACCTTTACTACTGGTTTGCAATGGGGCTGCACGCGCGCACTCACTTCACATGCGCAGAAGCATTTGGATGACATTGGAAACAGTGGGCGGAGGCTCCCGCCAGTTTTACTATTGGTTCTATAGAACCGGTGTGAACCGGGGGCAACCCACCACTGGCCTACACCCATACCCTTCTCGATTGCAGAAAATATGACTTCAGCAACAGAATGGTCAATACCTGGAATGCTCTACCTGAGTCTGTTGTTACATCCTTTAACCCTTACAGCTTCAACCTTAAACTGTCTACTGTGGATTTCACCCCATTCCTAAGAGGTCCGTAAAGAGGGTGTGCATAAGCGCACTAGTGTGCCTACCATCCTTGTCCTACTGTCCCCATTTATTTGTATTCATTTCTTTCGTTCATATCCATGTTTATATTCATACCTGCTATCTTGTACATGTTTGACAAACTAATAAATACAAATACAAATGTCTGATTGCTTACTTATCTTTGAAAGATGTCCAGAGTTCCAAAGCTCACATTAGGGAAGGAAAGTAGACCACTCTGCCCCCTTAGCTGTATGGCTCCATCCCGGAAGTAGGTGCCATTTTAGGAGCAGCCACAATTCATTGCAGTCGCTCAAAAAATGGTGCCTGCTTCCAGGATGGTGCCATGTGGCCTTTAGGAACACCACAAAGAGTAGAAGGAAGGATGGCAGGCCATTCTACCCCTCGGCATCCCCAGGTTGCATCTCTGGGAAGCAGGCACCACTTTTGGAGTGGCCACAGTTCATTGCAGCCACTCGCTTCTAGGATGGAGGAACACAGCCTAGGGATGCTGAAGGGTAGAAAGGCCTGCCCTCCTTCCTGAACACAAGCTCTGGAG